TCGACAAAACGTCTCGTGCGAGAGCGCGATTCCTAATTTAATTATGACGACGTCCCAGGCGAGAGCGCGATTCCTGAATGGCGAGGGCGTGGCGCCTGAATAAATTGCGAGGAAATCACAGGCGAGAACGCGATGCTTGAATACATTGTAACGGGGTCCCTACCGAGAGCGCGATTCCATGGCAAATTGCGAGGATGTGCCACGCGGGAGCCGTTGTTGTAGTCCGGGGGCCAGCGGCGTAGTTTGAGGAGGAAGATTTTCTTTGATAGAACAACAGGGTGCGAGCCTGGGGAGGGGCATTACAACTGAAGAACACATCTGTTACCCGAGGTGGGACCAGCCGTAATTATTCTTCATTAGTGAGGGTCAACACCGAACAACAACAAACAAAAACAAGAGACAGCAAACAGCAACACACACAAACTAATTAACAAACAAACAAGTTAACAAACAAAACACACAAGCAGCAGCAACAACAACAACAACAGCAACAATCATTTTAAGACTGGTCGCTCTTATCTGCTCGAGTGTCCAATTACGCGTATTTCCCAAACCCTCGGTACCCGCCCTTTTCGTCTTCCATCGAGCCCCTTTTGGTGGGTTTACCCTTCTTCCCTGCAGGCCGGGCTCCGGCAAACGGCGGGGCGGCCGCGGACCGTCGGCCTGGCCAGCGGCAGTGCTGATCGGCGGGGCGGCCGCGGACCGTCGACCCGACCCCAAGAGGGACGGACAGGGGACCGACCACGACGACGACGACGACGACGACGACGACGGCGACGGACGACGACGACGACGGCGACGGCGACGGCGACGACGACGCGGCGACGACGAGCGAAAGCGAGAGCGAGAAAGAACGAAGTAGGAGACACGAAGGGCGACAGCGGGGACACGAAGGGAATGCGTATAGGGCCACGAAAAGCGCGAACGAGCGGGGGCCACGAAGGGCAGATAATGCGGGGCCACAGAAGGCAACGATCAGGCCACTGCGGGTGGCAACTGGGCCACGTAGGACAGTGAGGGGGCCACAAACGGCGACAGGAGGGCCACGAAGGGCATGCACATGGGGCCACAACGGGCGCGACTCCTGGGTGCCTGGGTGTCGGGATCGCGGCGCTTGAGCAAATTGCATGAAATTCCAACGCAAAGGCGCTATTCTTCAGCAAATTGCAAGCAAGTCTCAAGCGAGAGCGCGACTCCAGAGCGCCGGGAAAGCGATTCTTGAATAAATTGTACGGAAGTCCCAAGCGAGAGCGCGATTCCTGAATAAAATGCGAGGAAGTCTCGGGCGGGAGAGGGGGTCCTGGCTAAATTGTGAGGAAGTCTAGGCGGGAGCCGTTGTTGGTGTAACCCGGGGGCCTGGGACCCAGTTTGAGCATCAAGGCTTTCCCTGTCAAAAACAGGGTGTGAGCGTCGAAGGGCACACTTCGATTGAGAAATCACAGTATGCACCGGTGGGGGGATCAACAATATTGATTTTTCAGAAATGAGAGTTCAACAACAACAACAACAACAATTATCCGCATCGCGGAATCCCACTTCAGCCACGCACCCAGGGACAGTGAATGACCGTTCGGCCCCCTCACTCTGACAGTTCTTCTTCTTCGTCGTCTACGGAGGGCACCGCCCTCGGAGGGTAGCGCTCGCTGGCGGGCTGGAGCTTGAAGGGATGGGGGGGGCACCTTCCTGGCCACACGAGCCTTTCAAAAGCCGTACCACACTGGGAAGGGACCAGGGGCTAGTCCCGGGGCCAGATCGGAAGGGACCAAGAAGAGGAAACATCCGTTCAAGAGCGTTCCAGAGCGCTCCTAGAGGTTTCTGGAACGCTCTGAGCAGGCCGCGGCACCCGAGACATTTTCCAGAGCCGCCAGAGCCCAGAGATTCTCGATTGATCCCCACCCAGTGCTATCACCGTCCGGGTTTCGTCTGAATATATTTTTTGGGCGCCCACACCCCTGGGGGCTGGGCCGTGTCTGCCTTCCCCTGACTCCCCTTTCTCCTCTCGCCTGCGTCTGCCCCCCATCTGTCAACTGGCGTTGATGCGGCTGGGTCCTAGCCCATGAATCACCAGAGGCCCTTGGAGACAGGTGGGCGACGTAAACAAAAAACGGGGTCGTCTTCGACGACAATGGCGCGTAAGCTCGCGCGTCAGCGCCCTCGTTCCTAATGCAACGTGCCGTGCTGGGGGCCCGCGCAGGCCGCCGCTTAATCGCCCCCCGAGCTGGCATATCCCAGTTAACGGGCGGGTCGAGGCCCGTGAGAGTTGCACCTGCAGCGCCAACCGTTGTGTTTGATGCCGTTCAGGTGCTCGTTATTTTACATGTTTGCGAGGACTGGAGGCACATCAATAGCACCCCAGCGTTGACTTGCCTTGCCTTGCCTTGCCTTGCCTTGCCTTGCCTTGCCTTGCCTTGCCTTGCCTTGCCTTGCCTTGCCTTGCCTTGCCTTGCCTTGCCTTGCCTTGCCTCCTCCTCCTACTCCTCTTCTCCTCTTCCTCCCCATCCTCTCCATTCTCCCCCACTTTTTAGATCCTCGTCGTCATCATCGCCCTCCCCCCCCCCTCCCAGGCACAGCACCGAGGCGGACAGGACCTGGCCTCCTCCGCTCCGCTTCCTCCCTCCCCTCCCGCGCTGCTCCCCTCCTTGCCGAGGCCTGGGCCCCGGCTGGAGCCAATGGGGCGCTGCAGGCTCGGGGGGGCCGGATCCGATGAGAACATGGCGAGGGAGGGCAGGAGGAGAAGCGAGGGTAGGGGCAGATCAAACGACGCGAAGATCGGGACAAAATCGGATCGGGATAACTCGAAATCTCTGAGAATCGGCGGGCTTGGAGGATGTATTGGGCGCCGCGGCCGCTCCAGAGCGTTCCGGAACGCTCTGAGAGCGCTCCGGAACGCTCTGGAGCGATTTATCCCGATCCTAGCCCTGTTTTAGCAGAGGGACGGGGGGGGGAGAAGGAGGCCGACGACGACGACGATTGTGGGGAGATAAAAGGAAGGGCAAGCAGGCGCCGAAGCAGAGCTGAGGTAATGACAAGCGAAAGGAACAAGAACGAGCATGTCACGAGAAAGAGCGCGAGAACGATGGTAGAGAAACATGTGTGAATTTACCAGGGACGGAGCATGAGAACCAGAAGAGGAGGAGGAGGCGGATGAGTTCTCGATGATGAAGAGGAGGAACGGTTGTGGAGCGCGAGAAGCTGTGAGACCAGGATCAGGGCACCAGGGGATGATGGCGAGGCGAGGAAGAAAAGGATGAGGAGGACGAAGGGGATAGGACCACATAAACCAACACGCGCACCCATGGTGCTGCCAACTTTGACATGTAATCAGCCTTTCACTCATGGAGCAGGTAGAAGGTTCCAGAACGCATGATCGTTGCACCAGAGCCGGATCCTAATATTTGTGCCATGGACCGCCATCCACCCGCGCAGTTTGTTCAGTAAGTACGTCATGGACGACCCATGTTCGGTTTGCGATTGGCTTCTCATTCGATTGAAAAACTAGCTGCCGACCTGTACACCGAGCCATGTACTTGTCCAAACCGTGTGACGGTTTACGTGCACAACAGATCATGCTATTATAGTGGATGTTTTGTGATGGTGATGGGTGTGTTGAGTGTGCTCGGCAATAGCCGGTCAAACCACGGAACCATAATGTTTGGGCAAAGTGTTGTGATGAAATGTATCATGTGTTTGTCTTGGTGTGTGTATATATATATATATATACACATTGCCGTACTTGGTCGATTTTCATCATCATACAATAAGGACTTCAAAGATGACCCTTCGTGCAATAAGGAATTCGAGGGATAGGAGCATCTAGGTCAATGTGCACGCCGATGGCTACTGTCTGGAAACCATCCACACGACAGCGCCCGCTAGATACCAGGCCTGCGCGGGACCAGCTGCGAGGAGGGACGGCGCTCCTCCCCAGCCCTTGCACAAGGCAGGGACATTCAAAAGTGGGCTGCCTGGAAACGGTCGCGGCGCCATGGTTCGGAGCATAAGAGACGGGGGTCGATGCAAACGGGGGTCAGCCAGGGCACCGGATCCTGCAGGATCCTGCGAAGACCCCCTCTGGCTGACCCGGGTTACCGAGCCGCTCGTGGCCGCGAGGCGGCCGCGCATGTTGGCTGACCCGGGTTTGCGAAGCCCTGCGTTGCCGTTTTGTTTCCCTTTGCATTGCAGTTGTTTGGTTTCCTGCTGGCCCGGATCTGATTGACCTGGGCTAGCAGATCTCCGAATGGTTCCATCTCCCGCTTTTGGAGAGAGTTCCACGTGCCAGGCGCCTTTGTCCATTCCGCCATGCCCCGGTGAGGAAGGCGGCGGCAGGAGGAGGTGGTTTGCGGCACCCGCTTCGATGGCAGCGCCGCAGGAAGAGGGTGAGGGTCCGAACTGCCCAAACCCTTGGCATCAATGAGATATTCTTAACAGGATCCGAACATGCAATTGACCTTCGCCGGTTACCCAACGAGCATTCGACTTCGATTGAAGTAGAGGATATTACGCTGGACAACGTGCTGAAGATCAGAGACCTGCGCGGTGAACTGTCACAGGCGAAGTAAGATCGGCAATACGTTTTCAGGACGACGCATGCAGTCCAAAGGAATATGGAATTGGCACGTGATGCAACCGTGAAAGATCGTGAGTCCAACCTTGCGGCATCGCATGCCGCCCAAGCCGCGGATGAAAGGGTACATTGCCTGAAGGGGCAAGTTGCCAGGCGAGGTGCAGGCCTTGCCTGAGAGCGGTAAACAGTCGAAGAAGCGCTCTCCGGCCGCCATCGCAACGGCATCGCAGGAAAGGGACGCAGCTACAATGAGCCACGGGCGACCGCTGACCGCCATGAAAGTGGTTCAGGAAGTGGCCGAGGCCGCCAGGACCGCCAACGATGATGCTCAAAGACTTGGCGGCCAGCCACCAGCGCGCAGTTCTTCTGGGGCAAATGTAAGATGGACTGCGCACGGCGAGCGACCCGCCTGCCCCAGTGGGCGGGCCGGCGCCAGGTGCGACCGACAAAGCCAACGGCGCCGCGGGAAAGATCGAGGCGGATCTCTTGGCGCCCGCCGAGGACGTTCGGGATGTTGACGCCATGAGAAAGGGCGGCGAGATGACTGATAAGGAGGATGAACTGAGTCGGAGTCACTTGACCGAGTCCATTGAGGAGTTTTCGGACAAATCCCGCGACTACCCCAAAATCGCAGAGAATGGGTCGTCGATCTTCCTTCTCTTGCAGGTGAGATCGCTGGTCGCTTTGGAAAGGAAGCCAGAGGTCGACCGCAAGATCCGAGATGCTGCAGCTGTCTACGCAGCAAGGCGGCACGCCCTCCAAGAGAGCTTCCGAAGATGGACGCACAAACACCACCCAGATGGCGCAGCCCTCGCAGCGTGGCGTGACTTAGATGCATAATTAGGAAAGTCGAGTCCTTGGGGCTAAGAATGTCCTGCCCCCATCGTCGGATATATAGGGTGCCTTGAGCTGGGCGCTCTGCAGAGCAGCGTGGGCATGCTCCAAATACCAGCCAAAAAGATCAAGGATGAAGACAAGATGAGGGTGAACCCAGTGGAATGTGGGAGAGGCGCGCGGGCCCCTCGACCCCCCGCCCCCCCCCCCCCCCGTGCTCGACGCAATGGGCTTTGGATCCAGATCGCGTTGCCCCGCCGCGCAGACCGCCCCGCGGGCTGAGGCCAGTCGCGACGGAGGCAGCCGCAGCAATGCGGCTTTTTGCGCGCGCAACGCCCGGCCCCTCGACTGCGACTGCATGGGGGGGGGGGCCGACGCGCGCGCCGCAGAGGAAATCCTCGATCAAGGAGCGCTCGACCCTGAGTCTAAGGACCTATAGTCATGACACTCGCCCCGGTCCCAGGCCCCGCGCCGCCAGAGGTTCATCCCTGAGGGGGCTTTCTGGGCCCCTTCTGTCGAAGCACGCGGAACAGCGCATGTGCCGCGTTTTTCGGGCATCAGAGGGCGTTGAAGAAAATGCGGGATTATCCATTGAGGGGGCGTTTGGTTCGCGAGTTCGGTCGAGGAACTGCCCCAGGCGCCAGCGCCCCCCTAAACCGAGGGAGTGCTTCGCCCCAAGAGAGAAAGATAGGGCGCGATGGCCGTGGACGTTGACGAAGCGCATTAGATTGGAGAGTTGTCGTCGTGAGCCTTGCGTCGCTGTTCGGCGACTGTCTCCAATTCTGGGGGCGCGGCCCTGCCCCGCGAAACTGCGTCTCAAATGAAAAGGGGCGGGGCTCTTCACCCCGAGGCGGCGGGTTCGCCGGCGCTCGGTCGCCTCGGCTCGCCCTCGGAAGATAGTCGCGAAGCCGGGCGATGACCCCTGCGAGAGCGACGCAGCATGGGTGCTTGCTTCAAGGATTGGACGACGCCCCGTGGCTGACCCGGGCGAGCGGCAGGCGTCGATGAAAGACGGATCCTCCCCCCCAGCGCGAATGGGATGGCGGGTCCATGTGGAATTTTGCGTTGTTCGCGAAGAGCGATCGCGCGGACTTGGCACGGATTGCCCCACGGATTTCCGACGTCGGCCAGAGGGTTCCCAGATCCTCGAGGCCGAAACCATGCAATGTTTTACGCGGCCAAGGAGGGCGCGGGAGGGGCCGCCGCGCAGGGATTCTTTCGGCGGCTTCGCCCGCCGGCGACGAAACCGGTGGCCGGCGGTTTGAACGCGCCGCCACTAGCCGCCTCCCTGTCGGCGGGCTTCTCATTGCGTCAAATTGCCGAACATAACGGAGCCAGAGATGACGAGCGCCGAGGCCCCGCTGATCTTCGGCCGGCGCGGCAACTGCGAACTCCCATCGGGGCCAGGCGGCGAGACCCCGACAAACGAGAGCCCGGTCTTCTGGGGGCGTCTGCAGTTGAAGACATTAAATTAAAAGGCGGAGCGCTGCCGTGCACGCGCGCGCGCGATCGCAATTCCACGACCACATAAGCCCCCGCTCGCGAGCGTCACTGCGCCAACTGCGCAAAGCAGAACTCGATCGACAGATGGGGAAGTGCCTGGGGTCTTCTTCTGAATGTCGATTTGGATTTTATTCTGAGTTTCGAACGGTTGTAGTCCTGTCGGGAAATGATCTTGAATCAAATCCACGTAATATCCAAGGCGTTCGTCGCTCGCCGTTTTGGTGCGTCTCATTTGCAGGGGCCCAAGTGGGGTCTCAGCGTAACCTGGCTGCAGACCAAGGCCATGGCGAGTGGTCGGCGCTCGCGAGGATCGAAGGCGCAAGTCGCGGTCCGCCCGAAGAACGGCTGACTCGACCTGGGAGCGCCCCGAGAGGACAAGAGGCTTATTTCGTTTACGAATCTCCCTAGCAGCTGGGGTCGGCGACCCGCGCGAGCCGCTGGGGCCCGGGGCTCGCGCGCCCGCTCCGCGCAGAGAATCCCGTCTGCGCCGCGGACAGCAGTCGGCGCCAGAAAGAAGTTCCGCCAAATGTCGGGTTGCGCGAGATTGAGGTCGAGCCACTTGCGGCGGCCCCCTTCGCGGCGGACGCGGAGCCAGAGGCGGCGCCGGTCGCCGCGACGGACCTGGAGAGCCGCGCCCCGACGTGGCAAGTGACAAGTGACAGAAAAACAATTGCCCCTCCTGGGCGAATAGTCGAGACGATCGGGAGCTGCGCTCCGCCGCGCGCGGGTCGCGCCCCTCGCGGCCCTCGCGAAGAACGGGGAAGGATGGCCCCGCCATTGCCGCCCATCTCGCGTGGGCTCCAGAATTTCAGCACTGCAGGCCAGTGGCTTGTCCCCCGTTCTCCATGGGGGAGTTCGGCAGACTGGCGCAGCGGTTTCAACGGCGCGGGAAGGCCGTCTTGCTTGACAGCGAGAGCGTTGGAATCAGATGTCGCGGCACCCAGGGCGTTTTTTCTTCGATTGGCACAGATTCTAATGACCCAGGCTTCGGCCCCCGATTGGGGCTTTGCCAGTCCCGGGAGAGCAGGGGAGCTCATCTTCGTGAGTGATGATTGGGCAGCGGGGGCCGCCTTAAGGGGAGTCGATTCGAACGCCGCTAAAATCGTCGAGTTGGCTCGGGGAGCACAGCCCGAGGTAAACGCATATTTGGCGCGCCTCGCCGAGGGGCGAGACGTCGTTCCCAGGCTCAGTGAATCGCGCGCCAACCATGGCAATCTTCGAAAGGCGTCAGAACACGCCGTGCCCAGCCACGGTGAGATTGCAGTGGGACGCGCAAGGCCGATCGCGAAAGTGCAAGATTCATTCTCGACCACTGGCCAGGGGCCTGCCCAGGCTTTTCAATTTTCGAGAGAGAGAGAGAGAGAGAGAGAGAGAGAGAGAGAGAGAGAGAGAGAGAGAGAACAAGAGAGAGAGAGAGAGAGAGAGAGAGAAAGGGAGAAAGAGAGAGAGAGAGAGAAAATTATTCACTGCGTGGGGATCCCCATATGTGCATCTCCTTGCTGGCGCTCCCTTGGTGGTGGGACTCGGTGAGGACGAATCTGGATTTAAGTGTGACTGAGCTGCATCTCTCTCTGCTCTCTCTGCTCTCTCTGTCTCTCTCTCTCTCTCTCTCTCTGCCCTCTCTCTGTCTCTGCCTCTCTTTCCCTGCCTCTCTCTCTCTCTCTGCCTCTCTCTCTGCCTCTGTCTCTCTGCCTCTCTCTCTCTCTGCCTGTCTCTCTGTGCCTCTCTCTCTCTGCCTCTATCTCTGCCTTTCTCTCTCTCTCTCTCTCTCTCTCTTCTCTCTATTCTCTCTCTGCTCTCTCCTCTCTCTCTCACTCTCCCTCTCTCTCTCTCTCGCTCTCTCTCTCTTCTCTTCTCTTCTCTTCTCTTCTCTTCTCTTCTCTTCTCTTCTCTCTCTCTCTCTCTCTCTATCTCTCTCTCTTTCTCTCTATCTCTCTCTCTCTCTCTCTTCCCTCGCTCTCTCTCTCTCTCTCTTCTCTCTCTCTCTCTCTTTCGCTCTCTCGCTCTCTCTTGCTCTCTCTCGCTCTCTGTCGCTCTCTCTCGCTTTCTCTCTCTCTCTCTCGTTCTCACTCGCTCTCTCTCGCTCTCTCTCGCTCTCCCTCGCTCTCTCCCGCTCTCTCTCTCTCTCTCTCTCTCTCTGCTCTCTCTCTCTCTCTCTCTCTCGTCTCTCGCTCTCTCTCTCTCTCTCTCTCTCTCTCTCTCTCTCTCTCTCTCTCTCTCTCTCT